TACAAATGTTAAGGTTACCTATATTGCCCATGGGAGGGGGGAGGAGGGGCATGGGCAATTAATTCATTTTTTTAGAGAAGAAGTCTCAACTATGTTGCCAAGGCTAGACTCAAACATGTAGGCTCAAGCAATCCTCCTGCCTCAGTCTCCCGAATAGCTGGGCTTACATTATTATCATTATTATCATCAACTGTCAAACCCTTTTTATTTTACTGACAATTCCTTCTTTTAAGATTTGTACAAGGGACAAAACAGTATGTCTAGTACACCTCAGTTTGTATAAGTGACAAATATACATAAATACATGATGATGTATGTACGTATGTATATGTGACTAAGCTTGCAAAGCTTCCTGAAGGAGGCCCCAACTGCCACTGCAAGGGATGCTCACTGTGAGAACTCAAATGCCCACGCCAAAGATGCTGTCCCCAGTTCTCTAATGCCAGAATGCTGCCAGGCCTGCACCAAGGTGGGATGAAAAGCCCCCTATCCCATCCTGTGCTAAACTTTATCACCTGCACCTTGAAGCAACATTGCTCTATCCAGAGTTTCACAAAAGCTATCACTCATCTAAGCCAACCCAAGACACAGGACAGGGAGTCATCCTCCCCATCTCCTACCTCTCCAAGGCTCAGCTATTAATCACCTACAGTACTTAAACTCTCTTGGGGAGAATAAACACACACAAAATATTTCCACAAGAGTATGTAACTATTTCTGTATCAGTCATAATAAATTCTCATTTGGGGAAGGAAATTATCTAAAGGGCACGGCATCTACAAGGATGCAGCTCTGGCTGCATGAACATCAACATGAACACCCTTTCAACATGGTCACATGGAGTAGTTTAGTTACTGACAGCCACAGCTCTTAAACATACACTTTTCAAACCAGCGGTTAAGCTTTGCAATTTTAAAACCAATCAGCCCATTCCTGTGGTTTCCTCAACAAAAGAATACTTTCTGCTAAAGGTGTATTCATGTTTCCAGCTCATGCAGATACACTTGCAACTTTGAAATAACAGGTTCCTTTCATTCCCATGTTCTACTATTCCCATACAGGTTTCAAAAATGTAAACATCTAAGAGCCAAGTTTTCTTTGAAACTATCAGATCTCAGATATTTATGTTCTCTTCCCCAGTGATTTCTGCAAGAAGCTCACAGACTAACAATAGGCCTTTGCTTGGCTACCCAGCCATCTAAAATTTATTCATTAATTCTTCAAACAAACATTTTGAGTAACAGTTTTGTGTGAACCATACACTGTTCACTATTGCTTTCCCCTGGACACGTTGCCATTTAGGGAGTGCCTATATGAAATGGAGAAAATCATGCAGTTCCTTTCCCACCAATTCCAGTAACAGTCTGTTTTGCTTATTTTTCATTATCATGAAACTATTTATGAATTAGAAATGAATGCACAAGTGCAGTAGGTGCAGTGCAAAGCTGCAGCCTGTCTAGTACATTACTGTTTGTGTAAATGAAAAAGACTATGACACAGCTTCATGCTCATATAGACGTGAAATACCTCTGGAAGGACATACAGGGTGTGGTAACAGATGGACCTCTGAAGAGGGAAACTAGGTAGCTAGGCAGTAAGGTAAAATCCTAGGAGATAAGGCAAAAGCAAAAGTAAAATCTTGTTTCTGTCCTTACAGCCTCAAGAACCAAATCTTGAAAAGCATGTATGTGTTTTTCATCATATACCCTTCTGAATTTTTTTAATCCTGAACTGCGGTCTTATGCTGGGCATTCAAAAAAAGGTTATAAAGAAACATTGTGCAATACTGAAATAATCTCAATAAACTTGAAATTAATTTTCAAATTAAAAAATTCTACAGTTCTCTCCTCCTTGACATAGAAACTCTTTTTATATCTTTTGTTCCTATCAATGACAAAGCCCTCTAATCCCTATCTCCCAGACTACCAGAGAAATGACCAGCCCTTCACTTACAGTAAATAAGTAAATAAAAGTACCTGTTTCCTATTGCCACTGTAACAAATTGCCACAAATTTAGTGGCTTAAAACAATACGAATTTATTATCTTACAATTCTTTAGGTCAGAAGTCTGCCACAGGTCCCACTAGGCTAAAATCAAGATGTCAGCAGGGTTGCATTCCTTTCTGGAAGCTCTAAGGGAAGAATCCGTCTTCTTGCCTCGCCTTTTCCAATTTCTAGAAGCTGACTAGAATCCGAGGCTTTGTGGTCCCTTCAATCATTAAAGCCTGCAAATGGCTGGTTGAGTCTTTCTCACATTTCATGATTCCACTTTGAAGGTCCCTTGTGATTATATTGGGCCCACCTGGATCATGTAGGATAATCTCCCAATTTTAAGGTTTGTTCATTAGAAATTTTAATTCCATCTGCCACCTAATTCCCCTTTGCCATGTAACATATAGCCACAGGCTCCAGGGATTAATTAGGATGTGAATATCTTAGGGAGGGGAGGAGGCAGTGTTGCAGGGGCACTATTCTGCCTACCACAGTCAAAGATAGAGCTGATAGGTAATAGATGCATACATATACACATACACGCATAAAGTTTCTGTAGAGACGCAGCCTCCCCCATGAAATAGCTTCTTACCCTATAAAACATAATATTCAATATCCTTGTCTCAGTTGGATGACTTTGACACCATCAGGAGCCATTCCAAGACACACAAGGAGGTATTTGAGACAGCCTATTAATATATGCTCTATGCCTGACTTCCTGGTGCCCAGTGCCAGCTCCACCACTTACACAGTGTGACTTAGGCCTTAGTCTCCTCATTTGTAGAATGATGACAGTATTAGTACCTGTGTCATAGGGTTGTTGTGAGGCTTAAATGAGTTACTAACACTTAGAAGAGCACCATAATGAGTACTCACTATGTACTGCCTAGTTTGACTTCATTCATATCTACATGACTAAGAGAGCTCACATAGGAATCGCTCCCAGAACAGAGATGATCAGCCCCAAAGTATTAATATTAAAATCCCATTTCTGTCCTCAGACACTCAAGAAGAAAATAGTGACGAATTATTTTTTAATCTACATTGGTATACCCTTTGTTTTCTTTCCATCTTACCAGAATGAAAGTTAAAATATCGGGATGTCTGGTTCAATACTAGGAAACTGGAAACTCTACTGGTTGTCTGCTGTGGATTACATGGGCTGAGCCAGACAATCTTTGCCCTCAAGGAAATTGCCACATAATGAGCAGGTAGGACAAACAAAGATGGAGCATAAGTAAACAGATTTAGCAAAAAGATTGATTTCTAAAGCCCCAGATGGCTTGGATCTAAAAAGCAAAGAGAACAACTCTCCTTTTTGGCCTATTTGCCCCCAGTGGGTTGAATCTAGAAGTTTCATGTAGCAAGTCTCATTGCTAACACCAATGTTAGCAAAGGTGTCATTCAAGGCACTTTCTCTAAAACTATAATCATAAAATTGAAACAAACTATATTTTATTAATCTATGAGTAAATGTTTCTTCTATGTCTAGGGATTGTTTCTAGGAAATAGCTAAAACTGATAGCTAATTGATCTCTCCAGATGTGTTATGCTAAAGAATTATCCAAGGAATAAAGCTCAAAGCACCTAATACTTTAGTTCAATAACTAAGCATTACCTAAAACATAAAAAATATACTGAAAATTCTTTGGATTTTTACTATTGTAACTTGGTAAAGAGCTATCCTCCTTATCATGAAATAACTGCCAAACTGGAATCAGAACATCTATCTCAATTTATTCCACTTTCAAGTATTTTGGAAGTCACTGCACCATACAATTCAAAGCACTTGGGAAACTGGCAATACCCGAATGTCAATGTCATGGAAAAGGAGTGCAAACTTCATATTCTATACTTTATCATGATTCTCCAATGAAATTCAACTTCATATTGTCAAATACAGCAATTTCTCTCAATGTAGCAAGATGTATAATCAATGAGCTAAGCAGAAATTAGGCATTACCTGCCAAGTGTACTTTTATAACACAATTAAATCCAGTCTTCATTCTTTCTACAATTTTCATTACACCTATGAAAATGTCCTGGATTAGTAGTCTCCTATTTTAAGTGTTTTATGAACAGGATGAAATTTCTTTAAGTGTAAAATATATAGCCAGACTCTATGAAACAAAAGGCTTAATAAAATTTATCTGTAGCTCCCATTTAGAAATATCAAAGTGATGAAGGATATTATTTGGTTACTGTCATATTTATTAGGATTTATATTATATCACATTATAAGCACTTGTTTTTTAATTTCAGGATATTGTGAGGGTACAAACATTTTGGTTACCTTTTATATCATTGCCTCTCCCAAATGGGGGTTAGAGGCCTGCCCTTCCCCCACACAATGCACACCATGTCCTATAGTTGTGAGTTTATCCCCCTCATCCTGCCATCCCTGGAGAATATTACCACCATGTGAGTACCACTGTGTTGATCAGTCAGTACCAATTTGATAGCGAGTACAAGTGGAGCCTATTCTTCCCATCTTGTGTTACCTCACTTCGGATAATGGGCTCAAGCTCAATCCAGGAAAATATAAGAGGTGCTAGATCACTGCCGTTTCTTAAAATTGAGTAATATTCCATTGTATACATATACCAAATTTTAATAATCCTCTCATGAATTGAGGGCACATAGGTTGTTTCCACATCCTTGCAATAACGAATTGTGCTGTCATAAACATTCAGGTGCAGATATCTTTATTATAGAATGACTTTTGCTCTTTTGGGTAGACGCCTAATAGTGCTATTCCTGGATGGAATAGTATTTCTATTTTGAGCTCTTTGAGGTATCTCCAAATTCTTTTCTACAGAGGTTGCACTAATTTGCAGTCCCACCAACAGTGTAAGAGTGTTCCTGTCTCTCCATATCCTTGCCAACATTTGTTGTTTTCAGATTTTTTTTTTTTTTTGAATCATGCTTAACATTTATTGAGCAGCAGAATGTGAGCTTCTAGATCCTGATCACCAACTTTGGTGACTATTGAGATATTTACCCTTCAGTTCCTCGGGCTTCTAACCATGAACAGCTCAGTAAGATTCTGATTTCATCTGAAATTCACCTGCATTACAAATGATCTACTCAGAGTAAGCCTGGCACACAGGAGGGAGCTGAGCGGGGGCACACTGAACGCAGTCCCAGGTGTGGTGCATCTCAGAGACATTTATTCATGCCAAAGTAGACGGCACTTATGCAAGTGTACAGGGACGTTCCATGTTCCCATCTAACACAGCTTGCTGAGATCTGCAGGCAGACTGACGTACCCTCTCTTGTGCACTCCAAGTGAGGCTGGGTAGTGATGACCACGAGCAGGTGCGGGAGCTTTCAAAGCTTTACTTCTTTTATCTGCACTCCTGATTTTATAAACAATGAAGCCCATCAAGCCCATTCCGATCCAGATCTCCTGGTAAACTTGGGTATAGTAGGGTTTCATGGGGATCCACACATTTTTAATAATGCTTTGAAGCATCTCGGCGCGGGACCAACGGCTCGGGCCGTAGCACAGACCCACCCAGATTTTTTGATAGAAGCCAATCTTACTGGGGTTAGGCGATATCTCGTTGTGGTTTTGATTTGCATTTTCCTAGTGATTAGAGATGTTGAGCATTTTTTTATATGTTTGCTGGCCATTATTCTGTCTTCTTATTACAAGCACTTTTAAGTAAAATTTTTTTTTACTCTTGGTTCACTACTAAATTGTCCAACACTCATGGCCTAGTTAAGAGAGAAGCAAAGATTTGTCAAAGAAGGTGAGAGAGTCTAAGCCAATTAAGATATTGCCTCACTATAGCAAAACTCCCCATTTTGGCTTTTATTGGGGTCAATTTATTTGGCTAAAGTAAATTTTTTATGAGATAGAAAAAATAGCATCTAAATGTATTCATTCAAGAAATATTAACTATCACCCACTAAATTACAGGCACTGTTCTAGGAACTGGAGAGCCATAGCTAAAGCCACAGACAAAAAATGACTTGTCAGGATCCCAGATATGGGGCACTGGCTTGCTCAGCTACTCTCAAGGTAATGCTTGAGAGTAGCTGAAAGGGCTGTTGAGAACAGAGGAAAAGAAGTGCCATATTCCAGGAGTAAGGTTCAGCCAACTAACTTTGGAAAAACAAGGAGATGGTTTGAGGATCTTGTGCTAAAGATTATTGGACATGGGCACGGCGGCTCATGCCTATAATCTCAGCACTTCAGTAGGCCAACGTGGCTTGAGGCCAGGAGTTCAAGATCAGCCTTGACAACATGGTGAGACCCCATCTTTACAAAAAAACAAATTAGTTAGGAATGGTGTTGTGTGCCTGTAGTCCTCTCTATTCAGGAGGCAAAAGTAGGAAGATCCCTTGAGCCCAGGAGTTTGAGGTTGCAGTGAGTTATGATGATGCCACTATACTCCAGCCTAGATGACAGAGTGAGACTCTGTCTCAAAAAAAAATTGAAAATGAATACAAATTTTGAAGACAAGGCAAAGACACAAAGCACAAAATAGAAGTCCAAGAAGAAAATTAAGGAAGAGAAAGTGGACAACCAATATAAAAAATAAAAACAGAATGATCTGGCATAAAGAAATCCAGATGAGAAACTTCTGAGAAGTAAATCTGATGACATTCAGTGTGTCGGTCTCAGATGACTGTGTTTATAGAAAGGAAAAGGATCATGAACTTGGGATTGTTTCCCCTCATATTCCAATCAATAGGAACTTCCTTTTCACAATGAGACTTTAAACAATTAGGGAAACATTTTGGTTTCCAGCTAATGGATTTAGTAGTGATTGCTATTTCAGGAAAAGCACTTCATCCCATTGTAGGCATGCCAAAGGTGCAAGAGAGGGGAGCTGAAGAAGCATAAACTGTACTAAAGGCCTTCACAGCTGGCTTTGAGTCACTGAGAAAATAATATCCTTCCTCTAATAATCCCTTAAAGACTTGGGGTTGCTTTCATTCAAGATGAGAATGTGATGGCCTAAGAACAACTGTTGTCTCAACACTGGAGCATCGAGGAGCTACATGTTCTATTTACTGTGCCAATGCCAGGCATTCCTGAGTAATGTGTGAGCAGTCCTTGAGAAAATATACACAGAGTGGAGGTTCAAATGTTTAGATACCAGTTTTCTAGTTAATAGCATGCTCAAACCTACCACATTTTCTCCTTCCACTAATCATCTTAGGACCTCTGGAGATTTTCTTACTCTCTTGATCTTCATCCGAGAGCAAAGTAGGGAAGAGAAAAGACAAAAATCCTAGATCATCAACCCTTTGGCCACACATATCTTGAGCACTGTCAGTAATCTATTATTTTGGGCCCTGCATATCTATAATAGAATTCACCCTCACAGTTGGCTTCTACAAGTACTATATTATTTCAGATATATTAAAATATGTTCTTGCTTTATGTAGGCATTGATATTTCAACTCACTTGCAAATGTTAGCATATCAAAATTCACTACAGAGACCAATGTTATTGTACTATAATAGGATAAATAATTAAGCTTGGATAATTTTATGGATTAAAGATAATTGGCATTAAACTAATAAGGCACACTTATGCATTATGTATTTGCTAAATTAATGCCTTGTTTACTTTCTTAACATAATATTCAAGTGTTTTATCTATTGATTTTATGTTATTAGATTATACTATTTGCTGTGAGACTAAATTGTCCTTTTAATTACAGTGTAAGAGCTCTGTAGTATGAAATTAAAAGTTATCAAAAGCAAATTGTAATATACAATCCTTGTTAGAATATTGTATCAATTAGGAATAGTTTTAGCCTCTAGAAACAAAAAAGGCATAAGCCACAAGGACATTACCTAACACAAAGGCTAGAGATAATCCAGCCCAGGATTGATTCAATGACTCAGTGAAGTCATCAAAGACACGAGCTCCTTCAAATTTCCTGCTCAGCCATCCTTGGTATGTATTTAGTGTTTTCCCTCAAAGTCAAAGATAGCTATCAAAGCTCCAAATATCTTGTCTTTGCACAATAGTAGGACTTTCCCAACCTGTTACTTACACCTTATATTCCAACAAATATAAGGAGCAACAAAATATGAGGAGCAACAAAATTGCCATAAGGGCTTTATACCAAATGTGACTTACTTTCAGGAGCTGAGTGCATTGGCATGGAAGGTAGGCAACCAACAGAGCCTGCCACAGGTACATGTAGCTCCTTCTGAAGCCAAGTATGTAATGTAGATCCTACTATGTAGGTAAATAGTGACATTGTGAGTCTTACAAACTAGAATAGAAGCTGATGAGAAAAGATAATTATCAGCTTTAGCATTTCAGTGTTCCCATGGGTTTGTAATTTACATACCTTTTTCCTTCCACCACTCTTCTCAAAATTGACAGATTTTTCTCTAACAGGCTATTTCATTTTCATTAACTGCAAAGGTGAAACTGATCCTTAATAGTGATTTTCCTAATCAAATTCTTATTTTATTCCATTTTTAATGATAAATAGAGACTATGCTCTTTTTTTATATTTTTTTTCATGGTTAAAGGCATGGCTTCTCAGTAAAGTTCATTTTTATCACCCTAATTCCTAAATTCATGATGTGTGAGTGTAGGACACCTTGTCCCTTGTTGATTCCAAACCAGATTTTTTTCTCAGGTATGTGCCCTTTAGATATGTATTCTTGGGAAGAGATCAGCACCCAAATCCACAATGCACAGGAGAAAAATAATTTGAGAGAAAGTTATTATATTCATCTTCTTCGTAAATTCCTAGAACTTTGTATTTAGGGTAGGCATCGCAGGTCAACTGTTCTATTCGGTAGAACACTTTTCCCTTTCCACTTTCCTTTCTTCTTGTCACAACCACTTAAATCTCTCTATATAATATGTTACAGCAAATGGAGAAATTAAAAGACATGTTTACAGAATTTTTAAGATAACACAAATCATCCTCAGAGACTACTGATCTTTTCCATATTAAATCCTGAAGAATGGATGGTTCTGTAGTTGTGAATAGTCACACCCTACAAGCTCGTATTTTTCTAATGAGATGAAATGTGAAGAGAAAGAAATGGAATCTTTTTTATTTTTCTCCTTTTTGGAGAAAATTAGGAAGTGGAGGAGTTTGTCAACAGACTGAATCTCTTGAGATAAATCTACTTAAAAAGATAGTGGGATTATGTCAGAGGCTCCTGAAGGGAAAACAATGAGAGAACCTTTGTCTCGTACCAATTTTCCCAAGCTCCTGCCTTTGGCTCTGAGAAGAGACTTTTCAACTCATTTCATAAACCTGCCTCAAGCACCTATTCTGTGCCAGGCCCCCCCGCTAGAGAATGGGAAGCATGAAACATAGTCATGCATCTAAAGAATTCCCAGTTTGAAAAGAGAGCCTAACACATGGAGTGATAATTAAAACACATGTGCCAAGAAGCATACCTATCTGAAAGGTGTTTGGGGCTCATTGAAGGGGCAAAACCAATTCCTCTACGTGAAGTCAAGAAGTCTTCCCAGAGGCAGTATGATTTTGAAAAATCTATGTAGGAAAGTCCTATTTCTTCCTCCTCGTTTTCCCAGAATAATTCCAAAGAGAGTAACCCAACAGCATATTTATTTAGGATGAATCACGAGAGTGCTGGGCAACTGCCATCTCTAATAACATCTCTAAGGAAAGCAATTAACTAGTAATTTTCCTTTATTATTACACTCATGCACATAATTAAATATTTTTAACATACTTATTTCATAGCATTTTATAAAGAATGATAACACTGTGTTACTTTATTCTAATGATAATGTAATTGGTCACCAGTTTCACATACTTTGATGTATTCTTTCCAAAAATTATTCTAAAATACAACTTTAGAGTGAGTTTAAGATTGTACCAAGTCTTTTCCTCTACGATGCCACTACTTGTCTTTTTTCACAGTGGGAAAATATCTTGAAAGGCTTGCTGTAGGTCCCGCCAGTTTTCAAGGAAAGCATAAAGATGTATGCATATATATTAAAAATCCCACTGGTCCTTCAAAAATCACTCCTAAAGGATTTTGTCAGTTTTCACATTTTGCTTTAATATATACAATGGTTGTCCTTGTGCTATCTTTATCATACTATGCAAGTATGCATAGACATATATACATGTATATACATACTTACATATTTATAAATTTTACATATTATATTGTTTAATATATAATACATATGTATATATAAACACATATATAGATATATGTATATATATAATGTGTATACCTATATAAAGATACAATAAAGAACCCTTTATTAAAGAATCCTTAAATTTCATCTCTATGTCTTATGAATATCAAAAATTATTTTTTCTCAAATCTCTTTCACGAAGTCTTTATGCACCAAGATAAAAATGTTCAATTCCAGATATGGTCTCTCCAGTTATGTATAATATTATAGGCAACATCCTAACTATTTACTATAGGACCCCATGTGCATGATTTTAAATTCACTTTTCTAAAAGTAACAGTTCACTTATTGCACTTACTTTCACCTTATATAGATCCAGGCTGTGTTTGAATATATGTCA